AGTATGCCTGATGTTAATTTTTATTTAGGGATACTTTTCAAAATTGCTTCTTGACTAGTAGAAGAGAAAGCAAAATTTGGTTTTCAGATCTCCATATTAATTGATAAAATCTCCAGCATGCATGTCATGAAAGCATACTCCATATCTTTCTGAAGATTTGGGGTGATGGTATACAACTGCATTGAAGGTTCAAAACCATGACAGATACTGAGCTGGGGAGAAGAATGAGGGAGTAGAGTTTAAAATACTGTGCGCCAGCCTTTCCTAACCTTGTGTTCTCCAGGTATATTGAACTACAATGCCTACTCTCCCTGAACAGGTTGCTGGGATATTTATCTATTTGTTTAGATTTATATGCTACCCCACTAGCTCAAGATGCTCAGCAGATGTAGTTCAGCACAATTTCCAGGTTGTGAAAGACTGCTCTGAACTGCAACAGGAAAAGCCTAGATAGCCAGATCAACCATGCCAGGCAAATTTGATTTAGGAATTGCTCCATAACACCATTTCCATGAGAATTCAAGAAAATAGTGAATGATACAAGTGTTCCGATGTTCTATCAGAACAGACAATGGATAAGTTTTTCCCTCCTCCTGAACTCTTACGTGTTCCCTCCAAATCTTCATTGTATAATTTAAAGTAAGCATTTTTTTTCATTTGATGGACACCTTTGAAATGTTGAGGGCATGTTGTTGGCACTCCCATAAAATAGCTGCTGTGGAGGTATGGCCAATTTCAAAGCACCAGTTTAGCAGTATGCAAAATATTAAGATTGTTCCTTGCCACCCATCTAGATGTTCTTAAATGTTCTTTTCTACATCAATTTACTTGTCTTTTTTCTGGGCAGGTAGGATGTAGCCAGCCACCATTTTCATTTTCCAAGTGTGTCTCTGGCATTTTTTTTTTAATTTAAAAAATAATTTAAAATATCATATAGGGGAAGAGATCGGCAAACTAAGATGTAGAAATTGGGCGGAGGAACTCCATTTCACTTCCAATTCCATTTATAGAAATTTGGATTTAGCTCTTACTTACCTACATAGCAATTCAGTGTATCTTAAAAATGATGAGTAAGGGTATAGTGAAGCCAATATTTTTTCTGAATGTAGACCTAGGAAAAATTGCATACTTCATTGTTTGACATGCTGGGTAGAAGGAACATCTGTTTGTGGGGAATGTATTATGAAATCTCAACTTTGATCCGCTGGCAGATCAAAATCTTTACGGTGAAATAAATTATTTAGAAATTTACACATAGAAGAGAATGTATGTAGTTAATTAAGGTAACATTTGAAACAGCTTCTGTAGTAACAGTAGTGAATTTTTACCAAAGGAGTTCATTTTGTTATATTGGAGAAAAGTAGATCCAGGAGAAGAAATGTTTAAGTAATACCTGACTCACTGCATACTGCATAGTATGAATTACAGGCTGTGCCAAACAGAGGTGTAGTGATTTTGCAAAATGTTCATCTTGAATAAAAAAAATAATTTTCAACAAGAATGATTCCTTATGTACTCTTACATTATTTATATTTCCGATATGATTTTTGTTGTGTTGAGAATATTTTGCAATTCATTACGTTCTAATATGTTTTATTCTGAGTAATTTCCCCAGAATTTTTGGAGATGTTCACTGTGGATTTGTTGGAAGAAGGATGTTATAGAACCTTTAGCTGTTTATTAATATAGCTTTAATAAACTGATTACCTAGTTCCTAACACAATATTACAATTCATACCTTCTGAAAATGAACTTCTTGCTCTTTGGTGTTATACTTCAGATTCCCTTCTGCCTCCAAAATCTATTTCTTAGTCCTAAAAGCATGAAAATATCTCTTCAGTTACTTCTTTTTCCTTTTCCCCCCTTTCCATATAAGGAGGGCAAAGGTGGCAATTTGTGGCCCTCAGAATCCATTCCAACTGTATCATTAAATTTCAATATCTAATCATTGGGAGGCAGAAACATACAACATAAAACAGGCTTTACATAGTTGAATAAAACAACAACAACATCTAATTGGGGAAAAAAATTAGATCCCTCCCCAGAAAATCCAGACCCTACTTATGTGGATGATTCAGTCCTATTGTTTTGCATCAGAATCCAGTCCATAGTAATCCTTCCTCCAACTACTAAGCTTTGCTATCCCTCTTTTACCTTATGTTTTTAAAAGGAGAACAAAGTCAATATCTGTGTACTATATCTCTGTTGAATGCCTAACTCCTACATCTGCATCAGCTTATCCTGGGCATGCATAAAGTGATAAAAACAAGGGAAAGGATTGCTGCTTAAGCTGTCCCAATGGAAGAAAATACATCCTTGTTTCCTATAAAACGTATTTGACTTAATTTCCATGTAAATCTGATTTCATTTAGGATGTGTCTATCCAGTAACCAATTCTATGCCTATTCTTTTTTATAGTAGTTTCCTATATGCTGGGTTACAAGTTGTGTGTGAGTAATTTCTTCAACATGCCCAATCACGTAGAAAAACAACTCATGATATTAAATAAAGCTTGCTGCCAGAGTGGAGCTACATAATGAATTGGAAGTCTTCCCTTAAAAATGTTCTTGGCAAGCAGGAAGCTTCTGCTCCAGTCAGTACCATTCCTAGGGAAAGAAGCTAATTTTTCTAAACAGGTGGGCTCATTCAGAATGTTCAGAACATGTTGAGAGTGCTCTTAGAAAATGACTCCTGGAGAGGCTTCCCATCAAAATGACTGCTAAGGGGACACAACCAGTCATTACACACTGGAATACTACCTGCTCCCCCTTGTTAGCCCCTTCCCCTCTAGAATGGTAGATACCTCTGTCCTTGGGGAAGGGGGCAGATGGGCATTCTTCCAAGCAAAGACAAACAATGCACTGTGGCCGTTCATCGTTTTGTTTTGTAAGAAAGCTTATGGGGACCATTTGGGCCTACAGGTATCCTTGGAAATATTAATGATCTTAGAGGCTGGTGTTTTGCAGCTTGTCAGCTCCCTATTCTTTTAAAATTAAATTCCCTTTATTTTTTTAAATGTAAAATGGCAGATTACATTTTAAATGTAAAATGGTGCAGTCTCATTGTCATCAAGAGGGGTGCCATGGACATACTAAGGGCTCAGGGGCTGAAAGATATCCATCTCCCTTTGTAATATTAACTAGACTATAAACTCTTTTTAGGAAGAGTTCCAGGTGTAAAAAGGCAATTTAGAGCCTTCGCTCTCCAGTGAAGAAAAGCAGTTAGATGAATTTGAAACAGGAGGATGCTGTGTTACCCTTTATTAACTTACCAGTCTGCAGATGTACTTACAATCACTTGGATCTGCTCTTGGAGATAAGACAGTATAATAATATATTTAAAACTGTAGAAGAGGTACCAGACAAAAAGAAAGCATTTGTAGTGATAATAGGCAAGAAACCATAGGCTCCTCCCCAGTTTCCAAAGTGTCAGTGCACATTTCCATATTGTTAATACTGGAATTTTAATTATTTTAACTTAACATTTAATTTAAATTTTGGAATTTAAAATTTGGTTTTAAGGCTTTTGTTTGCTTTGTAATGCTTTTGTTGCATAAATCTTGGTATATTTGTAAGTTTATCAAATCAGTCAATGATGGAAGATTGGAATTGGATGTTTTCAATCATTGCACATTTCAAAAAACACAGGAATTAGGAAACAACTACAGATAGTCCTTGTTTAGCAACCACAATTGGACTGGCAACTCAGTCATTCAGGGAAGTGGTCACTAAGTGAAACCGCAACTGTGCTTATGATCTTACTTCATCTTTCCTTTGCTTTACAGACCTGCGAAGGTCGTAAATGTGAAGATTGGTCATAAAGTTATTTTTTTATCACTGTCCTAACTCTGAACAATTGCTAAATGAGGACTACCGGTAATAAATTTACTGTTGCATAAACTGTCTTAAATCACAATCACTGTGTCAGATGCATATAGTCCTGAGGATGGAGAAAGGAGAGGTGGGAAAAAATATTACCTATAGCTAGTTGGTTTGTTTATGAGTTTGGCTGAATTACTAAAGGTTTGAAAATGACTGGAGGTTGTACTTACATTTAAGCAAAGTTTGGATACAACTCCCTTGCAGACCTCCAACAGAACATATGGATATCGGGGAGAAAAAGGGAAAGATTCAGCATTTCAACCCATTCCCTACCAGTTTGATTTGCTTTCAGCTGAATGCTGAATAGAAGTAATTGCCCCATAGTACATGAAAAGAAACATTGGTATCTGTTTAAACATAATACTAATTTTCTTGAAAGAATTCTCAGTAAGCTTTTTCCTAAAGAAATCAATATTTTCTTAAGGAATGTCAGTGTGAGGAGAGGCAGGGTATCCTATGGAATCCAAAGTGCCCTGCTCTGGGTTTTTGGATATTGGCATTTCTGATTGGTGTCAATTTATTATTTTGCCCAGAGAAGGGCAGTTTGTCTAATGTACAGTATAGGAGGGCATTGCTGAAAGATGCTCTTTCAGTTTTTTTTTTTTTAAAATAGAGGCAAATATGCTCAGCAAATTTGAGTTCTTCAGAACACTTTCTGATTATTTTTCACTAGTTGGAATTATCCATTGGCTTGTTTCTATTATATAAACTGTGGTGTATATAATGTTTCATCTATTTAAATGCCAGGTGTTTTTGGTAAGTGTTTAAGCTTATTGGCACCTGGATGACCTTCTTATATTGTGCAAATGCAATTAACTTTAAGTGTTTTTTAAAAAAAATAGTTGTAAATATAACTTTCTACGGTTCAAACTTTGCACCTGTTGTGTTCTCTTTCTTATGGAGAGATATGAAAAGAGTGACTGCTTTTACAAATATGTGGGACAGGGAATTGCTTGTGGAGCTGTTCAGATGCCATGGTGATGGTCTTAGTATCTTTGAACAACCACACAGTATAGTATCAATGCTTTGCAATTAAGTGTGTGATAATTACCTTGGTTTACTCTGTTTGCAGATGCTGCGATGATGGAATTGAGCTGCGCTGAAGCACCTCTTTATGTAAGTTCCACAGCATTAGGCTTATGCCCTAAAGAATCTTTTCTTTTGTTTTGAATAGAGGCTTATTGAAAGGAAGCAGGAGTGAAGCAAAATGTTGTGCCCTGCTTGACAGAATCTACAAGCTATTGAATGCTACTGTCTCATTCTAGCTGGGCCATGCCTTTTATGTACACTGTGTCTCATTGTTTCTGAAGTAATTTTCACATTGTGGTTTCCAGATATCTGTACTTATAGATAATTGAAACTGGTAATGCTTAAAATGGAGTCATGAACTGAGGTAAAAGTGGTTACCCTTGTATTAGGAGAGAAAATGTTTAAACCATGAGAAGTAGACATCATTGCAAATAGAGTATTCATTATCTTAATAGCTCCAGATTTCACTCTAATGAAGAATTTCAAGCCACTACTTCATAATGACATTGTAAAGGCCATTGCTGGATAGCCCATGGTGCAGTGGTGCCATTAGAGCAGAATTATTACCTCCCTTTTCCTTCCCCAGCACAATGAGCAGGAGACTTTCAGATGCAATTGGGCTAATTTACAGTGTGTTGAAGTGAGTGAAGTAATACGCATTACAGGAGGCCCCTATATGACCATTAAGCTCAGAGTTTAAAAGAACATTGTGCATGGATACGAGAAGAACACTGTCTTTGGAGTCCAATTGGTAGCAGAATCTGGGATTAGGAGCAGGCAAGGCATCACTGAGACACTTAAATTCATTTGGGAGGCTGCTTTGACATCATCTGTAATAATCTTTTGTACTGTAGTGAAGATATGGTTCAGAAAGGTATTTGCTTTACTGGGCATGTAACTTGTTATTTAGTGCATGATTTTTCTTGCTGTATCTGCCTATTTTCTTTTTCTTGAAATTGTTGTTGGGCTAATTTTAATAGCTCTGAGCCTTAATGGTCTATGCATACTTGAATGACAAGATGCAATTGTTATATAAATAAATTAGTTTCTGTGGTTCCAATAGGGATGAGTAGCAAAGGAACAAGATACCAAATTCTGATGCTAGTCCTGGGACTATGCTGAATGACCACCTACTATCCTCACTGTTCCCTAGTCTGCTATAATCAGGGTCCATATCTGTTTAAAGAAATCTTAATTAATCACATCTGCTTTGGAATAGCTTCAATATTTCTGGAGGTTAAAAATATATTTAGTTTTTAAAAATGAATGCATGCTCATATTGTTTCGTATTCTATAAGGAAAAAAATAACTGTCTTTAAAAAATCAGTAGCCAGATTAATTAAGGACACATTTTTAATTTTTAAAGACTTTTTATGTGCCTGTGTTGATAGAGGTAGATTAACCAGTGCAATCATTTAAATTTGACTTGAGCATTTTACTTAATTGATGTAACTCAACCTGAAGATACACTCCAGATGTGTTAAGTTAATGGCCATATTGTCTGAAAGTGATGGCAGTTGTAATCTAAAACGTCTAGATGTCACAGATTGGGGAAAGCTAATCAATCAGTTGATTAAGCCTGCAATTCTAAATACATTCTACTAGCAAGAATGGCATGCTAAGCATAGTGGCTCAATTCACACACATGCTAAGTCAGGGTTTTGAATCATAGTATGTGGAACAAGCTATAATAGCCAGATGTGTTAAATGACAGTTCTTGCATCCTTTGCCACTGGCCATGTAGGATGAAGCTGATGTAAATCAAGACACCCCTGTCTGAAGCCTTAATGGATGGGTTCATGTATCATGCTAAACTAAGAACAAACAAACCAAATTTTGGCTTAGCTTATGGTTGAAACCAGTCAGGGGCTTGAGTTCTGAATGGCAAGTTTCTCCTTTTGTCATGATTTATATCATACCCTTCAGAAACTGCCTGCCGCACATCCTAATTGGCCATGCTGGCTTAGGATGATATGAGTGATAGCCTCAAAACAGATTCTAGATGGTATTAGATTAGGGAAGGAGCAGAATTATGGGTGAGGGGAGGGAACTGTCTGCACCAGGTAGAGTGACATGCGGAAACTTTGTTTTGATAAAACATGGAATTAAGATCTAAACAATTGGGGAATTATTTCTAACTTAATGTATATAGAATAATACTGTTGATGCTGCAGTCTTTTTTTTAAACATGTAGCTTGGCTATGTTGTCATCACTTTGGTTGTTGACTATTTTCTTATTTATATCCTTCAGTCAGTTACAGTTCTGTTCAAAGTTATATAAATAAGAAAATAAATTGTCCAGTAAAAATGATTTAGAATAACTTTTTCTAATTAGTACCTTCTGAAAATGTTAGATCACAAAATCCATCATTCCTAGCTAGTGTAGCCAGCCGATTATATAATTTGTAGTCATACAAATTTTGAGGGATCTGGGCTAGGGAAGTCTACCCTAGAACAATATAATTACTTCACAAATGAATGTGGGCAACCTGACCTTGTATGAACAGGTATACAGATGGAAATCAGTCACAATTGCTCTACTGATGAAACAGCAATAGTCTATGTCAGAACTGTCCCAGTAATTGGCTTCTAATGGAGTATATAAACCCCTTGGGATTCTGTCCATTAGAGAGACTCCTGCCTTATTAGTATATCTTCATGGGAAACACAATCAAGTTGGTATTTAAATCAGGCATAGAGAGTAGTTCTTTTGTCTCTCTTCGTTGAATAGATTACTGACTTGCTGTGTTTGGCTGAAATCCTATACATTGGAGTTTGAAGATTTCAATGAGTCACAATATTTATGTAAGATGGAGATGATGAAAGTAATCTACTTGAGTTTCAGTCCTTTTACAAAGTGGCATAGAGCCCACAGAAGTATAAAAAGATGATACACATGCGACTTCTGTTTTGTTTGGGGGATATAGAGGGAGAGAAAACCAGTAAGGTTGATGATTTCATTTGTCAATATGGCACCCAGCAGAAATGGAACTAAATATCATTTCAGTGTTTACTTGCTCAAAGTGAGAATGAGTAAAAATCTCAGCTTGAAAGCTAACAAGATAGTCATCGTAGGATGGACATGTGAAATTCAAATTACACTGGTGAATATGGGGATGCCACAGAATGTGATATGCATAGGTTTGAAATCAATGGGGTTTTAACAAGCGTCATATTTGTTTGGAGGAAATTATTCGATGCCTGTAACAAAATAGTTGCATAGTACTATTAATAAATTGTTTGGGGACGTAAAAAATGGGGAGGGGGCAGTAAAGCAGCTTTTTGAAATAGATTCACTTCCTATTTTATAATGAACACATTATGATCTTGTTGCAATTGGGTGCAGAACTTGTGCATTTTCGTTGTGTTTCTGAAAACCATTTATTTACCGAAGACAAGTTAATTGAAATAATGAGTTATGATTCTTGTTGATGTCTCTGCTCAGTAATAACTTTTGTGATATTAACAGAAGTAATGCATGAGATTTAAACCACACAAATATTTCCATATAAAGTTTTGGAAGTAGCAGGGCATCTGTGTCATAATACATGATACTTAATACATGATTTTAACCTTTGCTTTTCAGTTTATTAATTTTTCATTTATAGTTTAAGAGTTCAATCTATAACAGGAAATAATCCAGTGATCTGTCTTTTCAATATTCTTTTGTTTTACTATACTTCCAGGTAGTTTGGAACAAGTAAATAACTTGAAACAAATCAATCTGTTTTCGCATAAAGTTATATTAAGGAATCTTTACTAGTTTTGGTGTTGTTCTAAAATATGATAGCATTTTTAATTCTTGCATTCAGTTGGCAGCAGCAATGGTGGCATGTTCTGAAAATGTGAATGACCTTTCAAAGCCATTAAACTTGGAAGATCTGGTCAGTGCTTAGGCCTTGTTGAAATGAATGTAAGTTGCATAAGTTCAGAGGAAACCTTGATGTTGTGTTGCTAGCATAGCAAATAATTTTCAGCTAATGGGAAATTGTGAACCAATTAAAAAAAGCCCTTTTGTCAAATGTCAACATGCTTCTAGACTAAATGACAAAAGTTCATAGTTAGCTATTAGGTGATATGCACAATCTCTATGTTCCTTCTATAAAATGAAAAGTTCTTTTGATCTCTTTGTACTCTGCAGATAATCTTTCCTTTTGTGTTGGCTCTAGTTGACTGCAAGCCTAAGCAAAATAAAATAGAATCAGTTCCTAAATGGATGCCTTTATTTCCTAAAGTTCTCAGGGAGCACATCTTGGTTTGTAAACTTTGGGAATTACAGTATAACACTCTGGTACCACCAGATTGAAGAAGGCTGGAGTATTACATTAATTGTTGTTGATTGTTTATGAAAGATTGAATGTCACCCAGATTTTTCCTGTAACTTTGCTATCCTTGTTTATGCAGAATATATTTTATTGCTGGTCCTACCTAGCGGTACAATTTAAATAAAAACTTAATATGCAAATGACACCATGCAATAATACAAATATTTACTGCAAAACAGTACTTACAGTTTCCAAAGATTTATTTCCAACGATTAGATAATCTTATACAGTATGTTATATGAAGTTTTTCTAATCAAATTTATTTTAAGAATTTTTTTTGTAAAGAGTCAAGAGAAACAAAAGTATATGCAAATTAAAGATTTGGTCTCACATTAGGTAAAATACTTGTGTCTACCATAGTTGGACTGCAGAAATCCAGATGGCACTAGTTTGGAGCAAAGAATTTAAAATTTTCTGTGTTTCTTTGTTGCCAGTTGAGTAGTCTGGACTTTTGTTGCCAGACTCAGGTGCCCGGCTCATGATTATGACATCGCAGGAAGCCACAGTCATGTGATTGCCATTTGTTTTTTTTAAGTAATTTTGTTAAAGTTTTTAATAAACATAATAAAAACTAATATAAAGCTAAACTAAAAGAAAAAAGTGAAATAAAAGTTTCGAAAGTGTAGAAAAAAGAAAAAGACAAATAGAAAAGAAAGAAAAAATGAGAATATAGTAAAGAAAAAGAAAGAAGTATTGCCATTTGTGACCTTCCCTGCCAGCTTCCCACAAGCAAAGTCAATGGGGAAGCCAGCAAGGAAGTTC